AAGTGCTAAATTACTGCTTTTACAACCCTCTGGTATCTTTTGGTCCTTCCTGTCTTGAAAGACAACTCAATGCCAAGCACTGTAGCAGTCCTTAGTTCAAAGGACACCATGGCATGCAGAAAATGCATCTATAAAAGACATCAGGAAAAGAACCATCAAAACAGGTATTGCCACATACAGATGGTCAGCAGACATACAAGGTGCAGACCCTAAATTCCTTATTGCTTTTTACTCAGAGCAGAGAGCTAACAAAGTCAATTCCACCAACAGTAGGTATTTTATTTAATCAGATGAAACGAGAAACTGGACTTGTCAGCATGACAACAGCAAGCACATTTTCTTCACCAAAGTGCTCTTTTTTTACTCATTTGACTTGCCATTACTGAGGTTAACAATTTTCTTAAATTCCTTAAAAGCTACATTGAAGATATGAACAGACTTTTTTAACAGTCAATCTCCTAGAATTCAAATCATGCAGTTTTCAAAATGGTGACAAGACTATGAAGCAAGTTTAAAATCTGCAAAACAGAAAATAACACTGCCCCTAGGATGCAACTAAAAAAATACCACCATAAATCTATGCTAATCCACCCAAAATCCTTTGTCATAAAGTATCTTTTCCCATTCTCAAACACAGAGCAGCAAAACTTTCAGTAAATGAAAAAGCCCACATAAACTCTAAAACTGCTTATAAAATCAAAATAAGTATGCAAAAGTTACCACATCAAAAATATAATGGAAATTTGCAGTTCTATTTTAATACGTTCATTCACCGCTACTTATTAAAATCTTCCAAAAGTATTCAATTATATCTGTAAAAATCTCACTTGTACCTGATCAGCCTTCCCACTACATAGTTGCATACATGATGAAAATTAATCCAGTTTCCTGACTTTACTCTTGCTTTACAATCTAGGACTATTGCTACTACCAGAGATTCTCAAAGGCTGTTCACAGGTCATTCAGTTCTCACGTTCAACTCTAATCTTCCAGCCTCTCCACAGACTTGGTAACAAGCCAAAACATATGTCCCACACAGAAAACATTTCTAAAGGGATCTTTTAATAAAAATTTATCTTAAAAAATTACAAGATTGTTACATAATAAAGAATACTTTTTATGTGTTTAGCATGGCCTTTTCCTCCTTTCTCTTTTGCTTCACTGTTGGATGAAACGAAAAAAACAGTTGAACACAACTTGCACCAGCCTAAAGAATGCAAACAACTCTACAGGAAATGCCATCAAGGACAGGGAGGCAGTTATTAGTTCTCTTATCCTTCATTCACAAAATCTGCTTTTTAGTAATGATAAACAACACTTCAGATTAAGTTATTTTTAAATTCACTTACAGCAGCCTTTATAAATGCTGTAAGATAAACTGACTTTTTACGTTTTCACTTTATAGACAATTTAAGAATAATATGTCTGTACAAAATCTTACTCCAAGCATCTATAGCATAGTAAAGCATAGAGCATTGTCTACAAAGATGTAAAACTTATTTTGAAACACTAAGTATAAATACATAAAAAAATTCATTGTGATATAAACATGCATTTTTCATGCTTAAGTTTCAAAAGCATAAAAATAAAAGAAATCCTCTTCTACACTTCTAGAGATGAAATACTAAGCTCAAAAGACCACGTCTAAAATTGACAGGATTTAATAACTGAACTGAATAAATCAAGGTAACTGCTGCAAATCCAAGAAATTACGAGAATCACGCACTAAGGCCATATCATGCTTCAAGCTAAACAAAAAAAAAAGATATTTAACAACCAAAAACCTGGTCTTCATTTTTGTAGACTGAAAAATTAAAAGAGACGACGAATCTACCAACATATAAACACCTATGGCATACCCAACAGGCCGAAGAAAGACTAATCAGAAGAATTACCAGTGTTTGGTGGGGTTTTGGGTTTTTTGCTTGGTGGTTTGTTTTGGTTTTGTTTCTCTTTAAATACAGAAAATACAGAGTATTATTTGTATCCTCTCTTTAATAAATAAAGTTTCCAAATTAATTTTCCACAAAGCATTCTGACAAGCAGTTCATTTTTAGTATCTCTTTTTTCTGATCTTCACTATGACTTGAAATAAAAGTCATTCACACTGGGGAAATAAAAGGTTCTGGTTCTCAAAGCAGATACACTCCACACTGTCTATATTTAAAAGGCCATGCCCTGATAACAAACACAGAAAGAGATGCAAATGGTGTTCTAAAAACTGAACAGACTAAAGACTTAAAGATACTGGTGCGTCCTTAAACGCAATTATATACAGGTTTAAGAAAAGCTGGGAGTTAATCTATACAAGGCATTACAGGGGTCAGATGTTTTTTCAAAGGCACACTAAATGGAATTTTACAGCTTCTTTGCTGGCCCAATTATGTCATCACTCACTTCTTTCTTCTACCTTTTCCCTTGCCAGCTTTAGAATCACTTGGGATGTATTGATAGAAATCTTCAGTGATGGATGTGTGTGCGCAGATGAGACAGAGGGAAATTGGGATTTTAAACACAAGTATTTACAATATGTCTGTTTCTTAAATGTTTATGTACTTTTAAAACACACTACCATTTACCTCCTGTAAAAGAGAGTATAATCCAACAAACCAGGAAAAAACCTCTAATTAGAGATATCTGATGGTCAAAGAAGTAAAATAACGTATCTTGTACTACCTTTAGTTAGTAACGAAACCTAAGCTGCAGATCAAAATTCCAGTTGAGATGACAATGAAAGTACCTTGTCCTGAGATCCCCTGGAAGCGGAAGCAGAGGCAATCTCACTATGTTTTTAATGTTACATACAGATATGCAGGGAGAAGTGCTGTTGTAAATTGTCTGACAGTCCACAAAAGTGACCTGGCCACTACTGTAATGCAAAAAGCCACAATTATTTTTGGTCTCCATTTAACAGAGTCATATCCTGCTCTGTGTAAAGAATCTAAATGATTTTCCAACTGCAGCTAAACAAAAGTGTAGTGTACCTGGAGATGACAGATTGAACAAAGAGGCGATGTGTATGGGAGAAGAAAGGATATGATCTTTGGCTAGCCAAATAACAGAGGAAGAAGGTATTTCTGGCTATTGTTACCCTGAGGGATTTAAACATTCTGGAAAAACTACCAATCATGACAAACTGCTAACATATGCTCTTAAAATCAGGGTACAGACACATGCTAGCTGTCATTTCCAAAATACTGAGTATCAATGAGCTTATGATTCCCTTACTCAGCTGGGAACCCCCTGAAAGCTAAGGGGTTTTTTTAACTTGGTAAAAAAATACTAAAACAAACACCACACAACAGCAAAACCAAATCACACCACCAAAGACAAGTGGGACCCATGAACAAATGGATTAGAGCCTTGGTTTAGAAAGTTCAAATGAAAGAAAACCAAAACACATTTCTGAGAAAACTAAGTGCTAGCAGCACAATGGTGATACTGTCGGCTTTAACACCTCAGTCTGTCTTCTACCACCTTCAAGTACTTATTGACTAAAAAAAACATAATCAGAATGAAACTGTTGGAACTTGTCTCCTAGCACTCCTGGAAGACAAGCTGCTACTCATTATAGTTCTCTGGTATCTTAGATAGACGTGATGAAAGTCACTAAGGCAGTCAACACCTCATGATCAACATAATCAGAGACTGCTGATAGAGTTAGGATCTTCAGTATTGGGAAAATAATCCAGCCTTTCTCAGCAACCTATTATTATTATTTTTTCTATTTTTTTAAATAAAGTTTGGCCAATGACAATACTCCTAAGTTATGGCACCAAGAAGACATTTAAGAAGTACTTCACCTCCCATTGCTAAGGTATTTTTCCCACCTTGTGTTTAGTGTCTTATTTTGTCTCCTTACTGGACGCGTGGTTTTTCTAATATTCTTTTCTGTTCTCCCACACATTCCAAAGGCTGCTTATTTATCTTAAAATTTATCTTAAAAGTTACTTCTCCCCTTATTGTAGTTGCTTACACAAGAAGTTCTTTGGGAGAAGCACCAGTCTTCCTGTCCACTTGCAAACCCATATCATAAGAGGTCCTCAATACATTGAGGAATTTCCACACATAATTAATATCAAAAAAATCACACTTCAAAACTGATCTTTGGATTCCTTCAACCTGCACACAAAATAGCCTTTCACAACTGATACAACTTCTCTGCACACACTGTCAAAGAAATTAGACTATTCACATGTACATACTGTTAAGACCAGCCAGTGGTCATTTACTTGAAAATGAGAAGGTGGGAGAACACCCATAGTTTGAATAGGTGAGGGTGGGAGAAAGAGAGCAGTTTTCATACTCTGACTGCACAGAGTTGGTGCACCAGATTCAAAGGCTCACCATCCCTCTGCAGGCCTGAGCAGCTCTCACCATGGATTAATGCTTTGAAGCAAAACCATCAAGACCAAAAGTGGCCTAAGTTCAATTTAAAGAGCCACAACAGTGTTGCTGAACTTCCTTTTCCCCACCATACTCATTTGCCTAAAGCATCTTCTGGCTGTCAAAGAGAAGGCTTTACTTACACCACAGACTCGCAACTGGTTCAACCTTTGTAAAGTCAATACTTAAAATAGAGAAGCTGAGGCAGGATGGACTCTAGGCTTGTGGAAAGAAAAAAAAAATCTACCTAAGAATAAATATTATTTCAGCATAATAAAAAAATCTAAACTATAACCACCACTAGCATACCCATATTCCACAGTATTCTTCTGTCTTGCCCTGTACAGTGGGAATATACACATTGTCACAGACTGTTAAACACCATTTACCCACGCAGTAATTTCAAAGCATAATCAATACAACCCACCCCCTCAAGAGAAAAACTAGTTCTTTAATATAATACCTGCATACACTGGGACCTGAGGAACAATATTTCTGATTAGATAGAAACATCACTGCTTCATTTCACCAAATGGCTGTAACAAGACCTCCAAGTTACTGCAAATCAAACTATCAGACAGTCCATATTTTAATAAAGTTACAGGCAGTCTTACCTCTCATCCTCACCATCTACGAGAGGCGTTGTCAATGGCAGCACCTTCAGTGGAAAGAGGGATGCAGAAGATGGCATGTTGCTGCTACCCCCATCCGAAACAGCTGATGCTCCAACACCACTCTCGACATTGGCAGCTTGAGGTAAACCCACCAATGAAGGTTCTGTAGGGCGTCTGCCATCTTCAATTTGGCTTACAATGGACTGAGCTAGTGATTGTGCAGGGAACTGGGTAGAGCTTAGTGGCATCTGCTGTGGCATACTCTGTGCCACTGGCATACCTATACTTGTTGATATCAAGGGAGGCTGACTAACACTTTGAGCCAAACTGCCATTCTGCACAGCCGAAGCCTGCGCTATATTCTGTGGCTGTCCCAAACCTACAGAAGCAGAAGGTATGCCAGGAGGCACAGCTGAACCAGCTTGACTTGCTGCAGGAACAGTACTAGCTGAGGGTATAGGGCTAACCGCAGACAGCTGCTGGCCAGCCATCCCTTGGACTACAGATTCCACTCCTTGTGCCTGCGGCTGTACAGGTAACAAGGTATTTTGTTGAGCAATGACCATTTGCTGAGGAAGGCTTGAAGCACTAGCCTGTAATCCCTGCTGCATTATTCCTGTCTGCACAGGCTGCACTACTTGGGAAGATGGAGGAGCAGCAGTTGACGGCATAACTGGAGGTGGAATTTGGTTTGCAGCAGAGGGTGGTTGCACCACAGCAGCTACGCTTCCCTGCTGCCCAACATTCAGCATTTGACCACTGGCAGCTACACCTGGTATTGCTGCTGGAGCATGAGCAACAGGCTGAGCTGGGGCAGCGGCTGGATGTGCTTGCACTGAAGGCTGCATGCCCTGTGCCTGGGCAACAGGAACTGGCTGCCCAGCTCCTACTCCTGTAGAACTTGGCTGCATGGCAGGAGCTGGAGTCTGAAGGATCTGTTGATGTTGAATGTAGTCCGGCATAGCCCCCGTGACAGAGTTTTGGTTCACCGGCTTAACGTGACCTGCGGCCATCTGCGTAGGAACCGGCTGTTGCTGCTGCTGCTGCTGCTGTTGTCCGTACTGCAACTGCTGCTGCTGCACCACTGGCAAAGTCTGCACAGGCTGCGCTGGCTGTGAGTATGGCAGCTGCTGTTGAGCCATACTCTGAATGGCAGGTTGCTGGTGGCCCAGGGATGGGGATACACCTAGTATATTAACCGGGGCTGGCTGAACCCCAGTAACAGTGGTTAGACTGGCCTGTGCAGGGGGTTGGACCCCTGGCTTCTGCTGTGGATAGTTTACTTCTTGAGAATGCAGCTGGACTTGTGCAAGCTGTGATTGAGAAACACTCTGTGGTATACTAGATGCTGGAATTGCTGGAGGAGCAGCACTGCTAAAATCCATCTGCTGAGGACCCACACCTTGAAACGCTTGCTGCTGTACCACAGTAGGTGCTCCCATTTCTCCACTTCCCACACTTTCTGTATAGTGACTCAGTGTGCTTACATTGCTGCTAACAGAACTCCCACTGGTGCTCTCCCTTTCAGAAGTCACTTCAAGCGGGTTTTGTTTTATCGTCTCTACTGCTTTGTTTACTGCTACTCCTTCTGAAACTGCAACAGTATTTTCTTTATCATAGAATTCAGTGCATGTCCATCTACCTTTTTTGAAAGGTTCAGAACTAGAATCTAATTTTACAACCCTAAACCTTGAGGTGCCAGATGCAGCCGGCTGTGGGCTTGATCCCACTGCCATTCCTGCCGTTGGATTAGTAACATTGTTAATGACACTAGAGGAAGCACTCGTACCATTGCCAACACCACTCAAGATATTCACATTAGCATTGCTGCTTGTTCCAGACAAAGCATTTACATTACCAGTACTCGTGATGTTGCTTAAATTTATAGTACCAAGCACACTGCTTGCCACACTAGAACTACCACCACCCATATTATTTAAGGTACTAGTTCCAGTAGCAGGACTTACACCTAAATTGCCAGGAGTACTTGTAGTGCGTATATTAGACACAGCAGATGCCGGGGAACCAGTGGATGATGCAGCAGAAACTGGTGCAGTTGATATAACATTGTCAGAGCTTCCAGTTGTTGATAGTTTTCTAAATGATGGACTGGGCGGTGGTCCTCCAGAAATAGGGGCACTACCTACGCCAGGATGCGACGGATGATGGTGTCCATGATGGTGGTGGTGAAGATGGTGGTGATGATGAACGTGGTGGGGGTGAACACTTCCATTGATCACAACACTCTGCTGTGGGTGATGAGGAAGAGGAGCATGCTGCTGAGGAAGATGAGGCTGATTTGGAGAAACAGCCCCAGGAGTCTCTGCCTCTTGGAAGTTATTTAGAGTCTCTTCAGAGGAGCTCCTTTCAGGTTCTCCCAAGTCAGTGGCCCTGGATAAAGACACATCCAAGATCTCTGAAGACGAAAGGTCTTCAGTGTGAGACTCATCCAGATCATCATAGCTTTCTGTATCCTCAGCTATACTGTTGTTAGAGCTCATACTAGCTGATATTTGAGCAGGGGTCACACTGGTAATTTGGAAGCCACTTTTCTTTTTCATCTGAGCTCCAGTCTGTGCAAGAGGCTGTGGTTGGAGCTGAGACTGCGAGAGGAGGTTCAGGCTTTGTGGAGGAGGGGGTATCGGCTGTGGACCCGATGATGAAGCTGCTGCAGGAGATGGAGGCGGTGGCTGGACCAGCAAAGGCGGCTGATAATCCTCGGCAGAGAGGGCAGCGCTCCCAACGCCGGTACCTGGTGCAGTGGGAGCAGTAACGCAGCTGCTGCCGCTGCTACTGCTGCTGCCCCTTCTAGGAAACATCGCCGGGTGCGCCATCTTCCTAGCACTAATGTCTGCGGCTGAGTCAGGCTGGTGCATTGTATCGGGTGTATTTTAAGAGTGCAATCCCCCGGTATGGAGAGAGACAGACACACACACAGATACACACACACACAGTTAGCTTTCCGCTTAAGGCAGGGCAGAGAGACACCACCACGCACAACCACCCCCCCCGGCTCCCGCAGCGCACGGGCTGAGGCGGCTCGGCACCG